TTCCTGAATTTAGTGTGTTTTTCTGTAACAAACCATAAGATGAAAGAAAATGGATTTGTTAATTATGATTAACTCTGGCTCCAGAGGACCTAGAAGAAAGAGGGAACGATCTTGTTTGCTGTTTTGCAGCATCAATCTAAAATTGCCCCGATCATTTTCAGTTCAGCTGTGGGCCTCTTTGTCATTACTGCTTTTGTGGTGTTTGGGTCTGCTGACGTCATGCTGTTTTTTTTCCTTTGGTGCTGTCTTTCAGATGGGACACCCAGGCATGCCACATTATCCTCCCATGGGAATGCACCCTATGGGTCAGAGACCACCAAATATGCCGCCGGTTCCACATGGCATGATGCCTCAGATGATGCCCCCCATGGGAGGACCACCAATGGGGCAGGTAAGGCAGTTTTGCCATATTATTTTTCCTTTCTTTATTCCCACGATGATGCCAGGTAATCCCTGAGGTAGGTAAGTCTCATACAGCAGCTTGCACATGGTAACATCAATAATTCAGAGTATTTTGTGCCACAGTCCCTATCCATGCAGAAACCCTCCTCATTTGTAGACAGGTGATTGATGCCCCTCCTGTGTAACTTTAATCGTAAACAGTCGTGGGTGTGAATCTGTAATTTGGTTTTTATTAGATTTAATTTTCTTTAGATTTTGAGGAAGTAAGGTTGGCTTACTAGCACGTGCTAGAAACGTAAAGTAGTGGTTCTTCTCAGAAGTAGTAGTGGTAGAGAACTTCGTGTGTCTTTAGTTCTTGGCTAACTCTTACATCTGCACAGCTGAAAAGTGTATGGAGATGCAAGGGAAGAAATAATGACAGTTTGCATTTTTGCAAAATTCCTTCTTGAATCCTAGGGAGGGGTTTTTGGTTCTGGGGAATGTACTGTTGTTGCCAGTGTCATGTGGCTGAAAAATAAACTTGGCCACTCAGATTGACAGGTAGAGTAGCCAGAATCATGTCCAGGCTTTTGTGAATTGAAAGCTTTTCTTTTAAATGATCAAAGATCCTTCCCTGCGTGGTTTCTGGTTAAATTCCAGACTTTTAAAAGAAGCAGTTATGTTTCTGGGTATCATAAATGCTCTAGTGATACTACTGGTGGTGATGGTTTGCATAAGCAGAAACTGAGTGTCATTGACTAGACCAGAAAGGCAGAGCAGACAGAGGATGGCAGAAAAGATTAACCCTTTGAGAAAAGCCCACAGAGTCATGCTGGCAACTCAGTGTCTTCCTTTGCAGTACCTTGGATAGAGTGTGTGTCTTTTTTCTTTTTTTTCTTTTCTTTTTTTTTTTTTCTTCTCTGCTATATAAAGGCTTGGTAGGAATCTTCAGCATGGTTTTGCAGCCTGTTAGGGCTTCTTGTGTAAAAATAATGCAGTTTTAAGAGGTGAAGGAGGATTTGACCAGGAGCAAGATAGCTAATAGCATGAGCTTTTGTGTGCGATCGTTAGAGACTTAAACAGCAATTCTGTTTTATTCCTCTACTTCACAGTTCTTTTGTGGCTTCTGTTCCACTCTTCTCACTCTCATTTATTCAGTATTTCGATCTTTAATATTTTAGTGAGCAATATAGAGAGCTCAGGAGTTTTTGGTAGTTGTTGAGGAAAACACTAAGCATAAATGGGATGGCAGAGAGGAGATGGCAGAGATGCAAGGGAAGAAATAAGGACAGTTTGCATTTTTGCAGAATTCCTTCTTGAATCCTGAGAGGATTGATAATCTTGATCCTGAGATTATCTCAGAGGTAACTGATAGGCTCAGTTACCCTGCAGCCTTAAGGACGGGCCAGGACAATGATATTCTCACACCAGAATTGTTGTGCTGGAAGCATGAACTTGTGTTAGTTTGTTTCCTTGAGTGATAAGCTCTTCCTTCCAGCAGATCTCAGAGGTTTATTTGAGAGGCTTTGCAGGGTGGGATGTTCAGTAGCTTGTTTTCTCCTTTCTGAGGTGAACCCCTGTAGGACAGGTACTTTGCATGGATAATAGCAACAACCTCCTGCCAGCGTCAATCAGTGGAAGGTCTTCCGGAGAAGAATTCACTCTCCTTCCCAATGTTTTTTTTTTCCTTAATGGACTTTGGGTTAGTGTTGTGCAGAAACAGAGCAGTGTGCAGGGTTTCTTCAGGACCTGAGCCAGGGCTTTTAAGAAGTTTCACGTGCTCAGAGCCCCCTTAGTTGCAAGTAGCAGTGGGGCAAGAGTGCTTTCTTCTCCTGCTTCTACAGGATGACAAGAAATAGGAGGGGCCGATTCCAGTCTTTCCTTCCTCCCTCACCCTCCCAAGAAAACCTTGTGGATTTGAGGGTGGAGCAGTAGCCCTGCACATATCCCTCTCTCCGCACGAGATGCAAGATGAGAGTGGTAACCTGGTGCTCCCTGAAGATGCAGGGGGATGGGGTCTCTTGGCCAGCCCGCCAAGGACCATAAAGGTAAAGGGGCATAACTGAAAGGTTGAAGGGGGTTGACTTCTCAAGACCTGTTTGGGATGAGTGGCCAAAACTTCATGTTCCTAATGACCTAAATTGTATATTTTGTTCCTTTCGCCACGTTTTTACGACTTGTTCGTTCTTAAAAGCCAGAATCAGCAAAAATAATGTCAAACGTGCAAGGTGTTAAACACTTTCTCAGTGGCATTTTCAACATCTTTTCAGTGCACCACTTCAGTGCTGCATGCCTTCTGCATAACTGCACCTTTGAGACTAAAAGCATAAAATATTTGAGCAAAAGCTGGCTTACCTGAGTGGCAGCCACGTGGTTTGGTCTCATCAGACACCAGGCAAACTCGGAGACAAGTCTAGACTCCAACGCTTGGGTTCTGTCAGGTGGTGTGTCCCCATTACCAAGTTCACTCTGTCACACGGTTTAATGTTGTATGTCTGCCTTAAGGTGTGTTTTGCAGACATGGAAGAAAAGAGTTCAGAACTGGTTTAGAGCTTTAATGTTTAAATTCAATAGTGCTCTTCATCCTGAAGTGGTTTGCAGGAATTCCTCCTCCTAGCGTCCCTGTAAAGTGTTTGTTCCTATGTGTGAGGGTAGAGGAAAGGGAGACAGATGGAAAGCTTCCAAAAAACCTGAGCAGAACTCTACTTAGATTCGGATTTTACCTTTCCTTTGTTTAGTTTATTCCATGTGGCCCTGGAATTTTGCAGAAGTCTTTCCCAACCTTGATTTTTCCTGCTTTAATTTAGAATTTCAGTAACAGCTTGTTAACAGATCACACATCTCATCGGTTGCTGTTCTTTTGTAGTTTTAGTGGTGGTCTTTATTAATATTTCACATCAGACTTGGGAGTGCCGTAGACATGTTATTCCTCATGTCCCTTTTGTAGGAGTGTAATGAAGGGAGTCAGAATTCTGCAAACCTGTCCTACTTTTTGTCACCAAGTGCTTGAAGAGGTTTTATTTGGATTAAAAACTAGTCCAAGATAATTGACTTTAAGTAAAAGGAGTTTAAAATATACAATATGCCTGAAATACTATTTAATTCCAGATGCCTGGAATGATGCAGTCAGTAATGCCTGGAATGATGATGTCTCACATGTCTCAAGCTGCCATGCAGCCCACGGTTCCGGTGAGTTTTCCTGAACTTTCTGTTTTTTAAAATTACTTTTGTGTCAGTCGCTGGGGTTATTTCAGTAGGGGAATGCCTTTGTTTTCCTGAATTGGTGAATTTTCCTCTAGCTCTTGAATTATTGTCAAACATAAGATTTCTGCACTGAACTAGTGGATTTTTGTCAGTTTCAAACTCCTCTCTGTAGCCCTGTCTGAATTTCCTTTCTTACTCTCTCTGGATTCTGCTTTCTCTAATGCTTCCTGTACCCCTGGCCTCCTCCCTCGTCCCTTACCTGCCTGTAGCTTGGCAGGAACCAGTGTGAACTCTGGCTGTTTGGAGGGAGGGCGAATTGTCTGACTAGTGCATTTCTGATTTTCGTTAAAGTTTCTGAAATCCAGTGCATTTGAGCTGTTGAGTAAAGTTTGCTGAAAGCATTGAAGATAGGAAGAAGCTATTTGGGTGGAAATGGAGAGGGAAGAGTTAACAGATGTTACAGATGAAGTCTCCCTCTGAAGTGGAAGAGGCTAAATTTCTTCCCTATTAACATGATCTTTTCAGAGATTTAAACTAATGGTAGGGGATCCACTTAAAACCAGTTCTGTCCACTTAAATTTAGAAAGAAATTATTTTTTATTTTCTTACCATGCAGATACTACATCTCCAAGTCAGATTTGTCCTTGTAGAACTCTGAATTTTTTCTGTGAGTGTTTCATCCAAGTGTGGTGGGCTTTCAGACCACTCCTGTGCAGATTCGCTACCAGTTTACTTCCAGAAAGCTGGTTAGAACCAGTGGAATTCCTAAAAATGATGATTTCAGTCAGGTTAGTTCTCTTACAATGCACAGCAAATTAGAATGGGATGTGGAAACGTAAACATGAGCACAAGAACAGGAACATGTCAGAAGAGCTCTGGAGCTGCAAATTTAACTATGACCTTGCTTAGCTGAGAACCTGCTCCAGCACCTCAACGTCCTTCTTGAAGTGAGGGGCCCAAAACTGGACACAGTACTCCAGGTGTGGCCTCACCAGTGCTGAGTACAGGGGGAATATCACTTCCCTGCTCCTGCTGGCCACACTGTTTCTGATCCATGCCAGGATTCCGTTGGCTTTCTTGGCTGCTTGGGCACACTGCTGGCTCGTGTTCAATCGGCTGTTGACCAGCACCCCCAGGTCCTTCTCTGCTGTGCAGCTTTCCAGCCACGCTTCTCCAAGCCTGGAACGCTGCAGGGGGTTGTTGTGGCCCCAGTGCAGGACCCAGCACTTGGTCTTGTTGAATTTCATACAGTTGGCCTCAGCCCAGCGATCTAGTCTGTCCAGGCCTGTTAAAGGCCTTTTGCTGATGATTCACCTGGTTTAGTCCCATCAGATAATACAAACCATAATTGATCCAATATGATTTCTTTTCTCTCTTCAGCAAATTTTGCTTTTTCACTTGAGGAGTTTTTTGCTAATAAAATTTGCAGGAGAGAGCTGAAGGATAAACCCTAGCAAAAGATAAACCTGCAGGCTATGTTTTTGCCTACAGAAAAGGAAAGAGATTGGGAAAACGCTGTTTGAATTCTGTTAATCATTTTCTTTAGTTTGAAAGAATTTCAGAAAGTGTATCTGTAAGAGCTTTGGCCATTTGCAAGCAGCTTTATGAATGCAGCACTAATCCATTCCAAGGCTTGTGCCACGTAATTCCAACAGAAGCCTGGTAAGCTGCTCCAGCATAAATTGAGAATCTTTTTTTCTCTCCCAACCTACTCATGTGGGTGCTGGAACCACGGCAAGGGGCACCCTGGTGTAGTTTATGGTATATATTGCCTCTCTGAAAAGTAGCTTGATGTCCCTAATGTCTTATTTCAGGAGCAGTAAGGATTCAGGGAAGCTAGGAATCCATATTTAAGGCAATAGGGCGTTTTGTTGCCAAAAGCACTTGTTTGAAAATGTTGTGTGTTTATTGATGGTTTAATTACGATTGCACTCCGTACTCAAATGTCTGTTGTTTTTACAGCCAGGGGTGAACAGTATGGATGCACAAGTAGGTAAGTATAAACAATTCGTTACCATTTCAAAAATATTTCACCAAAATTAGGTGAAGTATTTTTAAAAAAATTATACTTTTCTGTAAAATGTGATTTACCATCTCGGTAACCAACATCTTCATTGATTCCCAGAAAAAAAAATTTCTTTCAAACAATGATTCACTAGAGTCTTTATATAGAAAAATACAGCAACATATCCCTTTTTAAATGATTATTTTGTTTTATTTTATAGGCGTAACACCTCCTGGAACTCAGGTATGTGAAAACCAAAATGCCAGAAGATTGTGATGGCAGTGTGGTGGTGTGTGTGCATGGCTTTTTTTTAAAAGAAACCTGTATCTTACTTTTCTCCTGTAAAGCTTCTCTGCTTATTTGACTGTCAGACTGTAATTAACGTTAAAGTAGAGTGGAAATATAACAGAAAACGTTTTCTGTTATATTTCCCCTTATTTCTGAGCTTTAAAGTCTGTTTCTAGTTCTCCTAGTACGCAGGACAGCAGTGTGAAATGTTTCTTGGGATGTTTTTAGGTCTTTTTGCCCTACCTGAGCAGCAAGTGAGTTGTAGCCTAGATACCTACATTACTGCAAAGCCAACTGCTTGCAGATTTAAATCTTTGCAAGTATTGGGCTACATAGTTACTCAGGGGAGAGTTGGGGGTTTGTATGCACTGAAGAGGATTGAAAGTTGTTCCTCTTTCTGTGCTTTTCCTCTTTTTTTATTTTTATTTTTTCCTTCCATATCAATGACCAGTTTACAAGCAGATTTTTATTTTCCTGACGTTTGGGTGGCTTTTGGCCTGTTACATATTAATATTTTGCTTTAGCAGTTCTAATGTGTGTAGCAGAATTCAGTAGGCAGTGATTAAGTCATAGAATTGCGGAACGGTTTGGGTTGGAAGGGACCTCAAAGATCACCCAGTTCCAACCCCCCTGCCATGGGCAGGGACACCCTCCACTACACCAGCTTGCCCAAAGCCCCATCCAACCTGGCCCTGAACATGTCCAGGGATGGGGCAGCCACAACTTCTCTGGGCAACGTGTGCCAGTGCCTCACCATCCTCAGTATGAAAAATTTCTTCCTTACATTTAATGGAAATCTCCCCTCTTTGAGTTTAAATCCATTTCCCCTTGTCCTGTCACTACACACCCTTGTAAAAAGCCCCTCTCCAGCTTTCCTGTAGCCCCTTTAGGTACTGGGAGGCTGCAATAAGATCACCCCGGAGCCTTCTCTTCTCCAGGCTGAACAGCCCCAACTCTCCCAGCCTGTCTCCATAGCAGAGGTGCTCCAGCCCTCGCATCATCTTCATGGCCTCCTCTGGACTCGCTCCAGCAGCTCCATGTCTTTCTTGTGTTGGGGACTCCAGAAGTCTTCCATGCTTGTTCCTTAACGCAGGAAAAGCCAGGTCATTCACTCCTGTGTGATTTATTGGAACCTTTATTAGCATTGTCAGCTTACTGAGAGTTTTCTCACCAAATACTTTAGCAATAAAAAGAGAATAGCTTATATAGTTACCCAGAATAATTTTGAAAACATCACTCTGGTTTTTGAAGAATATCAGGTACTAACCTTGACATTATTTGAGACAAAGTGACGTTATCTGGACGTCGTGTTGACATAATTTGAGATTGGCTTTTGTTAGTGTCTCCTTCCATGTTTGAGGGAACACAGCATAATTCACCAGCTTAAGTAGGGATGAATGCTGGGTAGATTGCATGGAAGGTGATTTAACGTAGGTTGAACTTGTAAGCAGAATGGTGCTTGCAGGCCAAACTTGCTTCATTAGGTGATTTTCTGTCATCTTGCACCTTTCCATCCGATGGAAAATCGCTGATGGAACAAAACTGGCCATGTTGGAACTTTGGAATCACGAATTGATGTACCTTTGTGTTGATGTAGGCAGGTCAGCTGGAAGTAATCACAAATTTTGTCTGTCATGGCACCTTGAATGACCATGAATAGCTTTCAGCTACTATCAGATCTCTATTTTAAGTTTTATAAATAGTAAATTAGTTCTCTAGAAGGTAGCCCAGACATTTACCTTGATTTTTTAAGACGATGAAGAAAATAGCTTGCCTAAATAACTTCAGAGGCAGAATCTGTAAAAATAGTCACGTGGCCTCGAAGATAGCCCATTGTATAGTTTTGGTTATTGCTTTGGAATTTGGGGACCCTGTGTAATTGTTAAATGTCGGTGACTATAAGCTGTGCTTTTATTTGTGTGAGATTTGCATTCTATGGAACTGAACAAGGCAGTTGGACCTGAGGAAGTTGTTTCTCCTCAGCCGTGTCCAGTGACTGAAACAGAGCAGATGGCTGAAGTTGTCTTCTGCCAGTCCCAATTTCAGAGTTTGTGTGAACTGCTGCTGAAAAGCAGTAGGAAGGTGCTCCTGAGTTCACACGAAACTCTCCAAGGCAGAACCTTCTTGAAGGCAGTTTTTCTTAGTTTTGAAAACGTGGTGTGCATCTGGGACTTTCACTTGAAGTTGTTAGAGTCCTATCGCATTCACTTTTGCTTTCTTGTGGAGATTGGCTACCTTGGATGGCTGAGCGAGAGGAGAATGTAGAGACTCTTAATAGATTTGTAACAAATAGTTTCTTGAGTACAATACTGACTTAGATGTCTTTAAATTTTGCCTTGCTGCCTTTCCTTTGCTGCTGAATTGTTGTGTTTAATCCACTTACTCAAACAGAAAACAACTATTAACCAGAATGTCTTTTCAGAGCTCTGTTTTGTTTCGCCCTCAGACAACACACCCTGTAGTTTGTGCAGCCCAGCAAACTGCCACAACCAACAGTTCTGTTAATGAAGAGCACTCCAAACAGGTTTATCTGCTTTCCACTTGTATTGAACTTTTCCCTGGCTTTCGAGAGCGTCTCGGTCAGCAGTTATCCTTCATCATTAATGGTGTCTTTGACTTTTCCTAGAAATCCACGTGGACAGAGCACAAATCACCTGATGGAAGAACATATTACTATAATGCTGAAACAAAGCAGTCTACTTGGGAGAAGCCAGATGATCTCAAAACACCTGCTGAGGTAAACTAAATCCGGGTGGAGATTAGTGCACTGTGTGAGTTTGTGTGAACACAAGAATTTACCAGCCTAACTGCCGTGCAGGAGCATAGCTGTTCCAATAATTTTGGGTTTTTTTTCAGTGAGAGCAAACTCTTCAAATAGGAAGTGTTGCCAAAATGTTTTTATCGTGCTCCTTATGTTGGTAGAACTTGAGTCTGCAAAGTGGACAAAACTCTCAACAGTTTTCCTCAGTTTTTAGATACATTTTCCGTATTAAAAAGATGGCATTCTTTAATATTTAGATAAGCAACGTGTGTGTTTATTGCTAGGGCAAATTTTCCTTGGAAAGTATATGCCTTGTATTTGTTGATCCTTAAATTATTTCTTGGCGTGGTGTTTGTGGCTCACTCCTAGCTATCCTTTTAATTCGAAAACACCATTGTAAGTTTGATTTTATGTTTTTGTTTTCTGTCCATCAGCAATTGTTGTCTAAATGTCCCTGGAAAGAGTATAAGTCTGACTCTGGAAAGCCCTACTATTATAATTCCCAAACAAAGGAATCGCGCTGGGCAAAACCCAAGGAGCTTGAGGATCTTGAAGGTAATGTTAAGGAAAAACCAGTAGGGAGAGTGGCAGTGTGTTGTAAAAATAAAAAATAAAAATTGTAAAAGAAAAAAAGAAGGAAAGATCAGTTTCAGGAAGCCCGACTTTATCTGTTCTTTGAACTAGTCTTTTAAAATTAAAATAATTATTTTAAACCAGGAAGTTTTCCTTAGTATACCCTAATCTTTATGTAATGGGATTTCTAAATTTCATCTTAGTCTGAATTGATTTCAGTCTTTAAAGGGCACAAATATTAAAATTAGTGATAATAACAAAAATATTGAACATTTTATTAAATCGTGTTAAAAGTAACATTTTACATGCATATATAAACTATATTTGAAGCTAGATTTTGATTGTTTTTTCCCCTTTCTCCTCTAGCAATGATTAAAGCTGAAGAAAACAGGTATGTTTTTCATTATATGCTAATGTTTTTTACTTAGGCTGCCTGTTATTTCTTAAAGACGGAATCTAGTCCTTGAATCTTAAAACATACTTGTTGCAGCTTTTCATGCCAAATAATGGCTTAATACATAAAAACTCAAATAATATCTTCTGGGTTTCTTTTTTTAATATCTTCTGGGCTTCTTTTTAAGTGATTGAGCTACATAGGTACACAGATTCAGTAAAGCATTTCCTTCCTCTGAGCTAAGGTCATTTTGTATTCTTCTGAGAAATCTTTGTAACTAGACCTAAACCTCTCCTTTCATCCTTTATTGACTTTTATTAACTCATTTAAACTACGAGTTTCTCTAAACTGTTGAGTTGTCCAATACTTGTATGTGACTGTTCCTGTTTTTTGTGGCTGTCCCTACAGCACAAAGGCCGAGGAATCCACTCCGGCGACATCTGCTCCAGCTGCTGCAGCAGAAGCAGCAAACACCAGTGCCACAGCCACCACTGCTGCTGACACTGCTGCAGCTGCCACTGCCACCGCTGCTGCCTCTGCAGCAACAGCAGCCCCTGAAGCAGAAACTGCTGCAGCTGCTGCTGGGGGAGAAAATGAGAGTTCTGGCACCGCTGCAGGGGAGGAGCAGGGCCAAGCAGCTGCTGCAGCTGCTGGGCAGGAGCAGAGCGGAGAAGGTGCGGCGAACGCAGCAGATGACTCTTCCAAGCAGGAGGCTTCAGCAGAGTGAGTGAAATTACGAAGCGTGGGGCTCGACTGCAGTTTTGTGTTCTAGCATCTGGTTTATTTTCAGCTGTAGGTGGCCAGGCTTCTTGGACAGGTGTTCCTGCAGTGAGACGTGAGCACGAATCACTGGCAGCAGAGAAGAATAATGAGTGAGAAAGAGAGAAACAAGTATTAAATCTGGTTTTAGAAAAAATAGTGCCCACACCTTGCCAGCCCTCTCCCAAAGCTCTTAAACCCTACAGAGAAGATGAGTGGCTTGAACATTTAGTGTGTTTTTTGAGAACTGTAAGAGTTTCCCAGGGTAACATCGTAGGCTTACCCTGTGTGTTTCCCCTCTGTAGATCTGTGCAGTGGGGGGTCAACAGAAGAAAATGCAATACTAACTAGATCTTTGTCTGTTCCACCAGAAGTGAGATCCTTTGGTTTTTAATGATGGAGAATTGATGATGTGGAGAATTACAGCTTACGATTTGTATCATTCAATCAAAACAGAAACACCCTGTGGAGGATTATAGCCAGCAGGAGATAATTCAGGGCAAGAGGCATATTTTTAGGCACTCACCTTTATATTTCATATATTATACGTATAAATATTCCTGCTAAATTTCAGCGTTATGTTTTTGTGAATTATTTCTAGATAACTTAAGCAGGTAGCCGTAAGAATTTTCTGAAATAGTTTGCATTTTTCATCAGCTATGTATGGTGTCTGTAAGAAAGTCTTGTACAAATTGTGGTGTTCATCATGTATAGCGTTATTATATTTCCCTGAGTTGCTATTCAGAAAATTCATTCTACCTAATTATGGGGGTCTATGACTCTACAGTGGCTCTAACTTAGGAAAAAAAATATGCTTAAATAATAAAATTACTGATCTTTGTATGTAGTGCTGCTTCAAAGAAAGAGGATGATGATGCCCAGCCGGTTAAAAAAACCTATACGTGGAACACAAAGGAAGAAGCAAAGCAAGCATTTAAAGAACTGTTAAAAGAAAAGGTATTTCAACTATTCTTTATTGAACTACACAAACTGCATTTGCCAGAAATTGCTAGGCTTTTGTGAAGAATTTCTCACTGTTGTGGAAGAGGACTTTTGTGCTATACAAGAAATGAGGGAAGTGAAAACAGCACACAGTTTAAACTTGTTTCCAGCTCTTTGGGTGAGTGGGGAGGTGTTGGGTTTTCATCAGGGCTCTCAGTTCATTTTTTTCTGATTTTTCTTACTTTTACATGATCCCCATGCTGTAATGCAGACTTGTAACCTGGTCTTTGTCCAGAACTCAAACTGGAGCAGTGAGTGATTTGATGGACAGCTTCACTAGGTGCTTCAGAGACAGGCAGTGTAGAGGTCTGTGTGGAAAAAGGACAAACTGTTACATTTAATATGCAGTGTTTCCATAAGTTACTGTCATTTAAAGACATGGTGTTTTTTTCCCTATGAAGCAGTAATTCTAAAACTGTATTCAAAGTGTTGTGGAAATTCTGGTTATCTGGCAGTGAGGTGTGCTTCTGATAAGTGTTGCCTGGTTGTCTGAGCCCTCAGTTTTTGATCTTTTTTTTAAAGATGGAGATGAAGTGGGAGTAAAACAAGACTGGCTTTGGTTTTCCCTCAGAGAATATGGGATCTATTTGTGTTTTGTCTAATGAGTCAACATAGTTTTGTAGTAGACAAACTAGCAGAAAAATATATTGCAGAAATAGCAATAATCCCAAAAGTACCTTGTTTCTTTTTCCATGTTGACTGCTAGTAATAACATTTTTTAACAATTTGTGACAAAGAATGATATCTTAACCTCAAAAGTGTAGTGCTTTGTTTGTTGCTTTGTTGTTTTTGGTTTTTGTTGTTGGTTTTTTTTTTTTAAAGGCTGTTTTTTTTAAGGAATCTCTCGTTGGATGTTGGTTCCATAACTAATGAGTTAATGATTTAATGTCTTCACAGCGAGTACCATCCAATGCTTCTTGGGAGCAAGCTATGAAAATGATCATTAATGATCCTAGATACAGGTAGTGCTTGAATCTTTCCTCATTACATTTCTACACAAATACTGTGTGAGGTAGTTTGCCTTTACTGATGTGACTTTTGGTCGTTTTAACAGACACTATGCACTAGTGAATGTGTACTATTGTCAGGGAACTTTGTTCCTTTATTACATAAAGAAATACAAGTCATAGACTTAGTTTTTCATTTGGAAAAGATGTGGCAGGTGTATTTGATGATCTTTAAATGATTTTCTTGGGAATAAAAGCACACATTTACAATAATGGAGCTAAAGGCTCTCTAGGTTACTTTTTTAAACAGGTGGCTGCTATAAACGTTGGCAGAAAAGTGGTTGATATCCATGATAAAAATTTTCAGTATAATAATGTGAAATGTGTAAATGCAACCTGAAAGCGTGACAGTAGCTTGTGTTGTATTATTAACTGCTTTTACTAGCAAGTGATTGGTTTTGTTGCTTTTTTGAAATGATCTTCCATAATCCTGAGGGGAGAGACAGTGGGATGACTGGCCATTAAAGTTATATTTCATTTTGTCTCAAAACCCTGGATTATTCAGATCTGTTATCTTTTGGCTCTTTTCCATAGTCCTGAGGGAGAGACAGTGGGATGACTGGCCATTAAGGTTATATTTCATTTTGTCTCAAAAACTTGGATTATTCAGATCTGTTATCTTTTGGCTCTGGTTTTGTTTTTCTCATTTAATTCCCTTTTGCATAATGGACATTGTTTTCTTTTTCCTTGATATGAAGTGCTTTGGCAAAATTAAGTGAAAAAAAGCAAGCCTTTAATGCTTACAAAGTTCAAACAGAAAAAGAAGAGAAGGAAGAAGCAAGATCAAAATACAAAGAAGCTAAAGAATCCTTCCAGCGTTTCCTCGAAAACCATGAAAAGATGACATCCACAACAAGATACAAGTAAGGCTGATCTTAAATGAAGTTCCAGCCTTCACTAGCTTGCCAAATTAATAATCAATTAATTGCTCTTAGTGGATGTTAACCTTTGTATATGCTCAGCCTGGAAAAGCCTGTAACTAAAATTTTTATAGGAACACAAATATTCTCATTTTCATAATATATATATGTATATATGTAATGATTGCCACGACAGTGCCCTGGACATACGCTAGCCCTCAGATAAAAATACTTAGGTAAGGCACTGGATGTGAACTTGCACCTCTGTGGAGAGGAATGTGTAGTGGCATCAGCTTTCGTTTTTAACTGTTCCCTTTGTTTATAAGAGAGAGAAAGTTGTCACAGAGAAAGTTGCCCAAGACAGAAAATCAGGGAAATGTCATATGAAAGCATTACTGCTTGTAGCAAGGTTCATTTAAGGTTATTGTAGGCCAGTGGCACAACTTAAATCGCTGTTCACCAGTTAAAGATTGTATGCTTTGCTTTTCTTTGTACAGAAAAGCTGAACAAATGTTCGGAGAAATGGAAGTCTGGAACGCAATATCTGAGCGTGATCGTCTGGAAATTTATGAAGACGTCTTGTTTTTTCTGTCTAAGAAGGAGAAGGTAACGTTCTTTCAAACTTACCTTTTCACTTGCTATCTGTAATTAGCTTATACCTCTTAGGAAGGAAATCTTGCAAGCAGTGCAGTTCTAAGTGGGGGCATGGAGAAGAGAATGAGGACATTGCTGTGGTACTGGGAACCATGTACTGCTGACAGGGTACAGGTGAGGTTACCACCTCTCAAAGGGGTCGGGGAGAAAAAGAGGGAAAAGAACAGAGGGAGACAAGGTTTATCAACCATGAGACACTGTGGAGAGGGGCCCTTCACTTTAGAAAGATGTGATGGGAAGGGGACAAAGAAGAAAGCATTAGTGGGACTTCAAAACTATGACTGGTTTTGCAGAGGTGAATTTGGAGGCAGTCGTTCCTTGTTTCTTAGTGTATTCAAGGAGCATTCAGTAGAGGTAGCAGGCAGAAGGTGATGAACCTTTACCTTAACAAACTATTGGAAGTTCTGATCCTGCACAGTACAAAACTGAAGTTGTGGAGCTAACTGCTGCAGAGTAACATTTTGGAGATGAGAATTTCCTGAAAAGCTACCTGTCAGAAACTGGGAAGCCATCTAGGAGCAGATTGCTCTTGTCAGCTTTCCCTAGTTCATTGCAGTCTGCTGGTGGACAAGATGGCCCCCTGATTTGACCCTGTCTGGCAGATACAAGAGCAGTTTCTTTGAAAGGTCTTTGTTCTTATTGAGATGTGTTGCTGCTAATTTTGCAATGTGTTTAATTATTAGTATGATTTTAATAAATGACATAGAATCATAGAATGGTTTGGGTTGGACTTAAAGATCATCCAGTTCCAACCCCCCTGCCATGGGCAGGGACACCCTCCACTACACCAGGTTGCCCAAAGCCCCATCCAACCTGCCCTTGACCGTATGATGAATGTGATGGGGTTTATTCTGAAATGCTCTGAATCAGACTGTGAAACTATTATGGGCTTGTTACAGAAAGCTGTGCTTCCTTTCACCTCAGTGGTGCCACACCGACCGCGAGGATCTGGCCCTCACTGTGTCTGGTCATCTCATCCTCACTGCAGTTCAGTAGTGATGCTGGCACTCACCAGCATACTTGGGTAGATGGAAAGCAGGCAACTGGATACAAATTGTGTAGCAAGACTATTTCTGGAGTTGATTTAAGTTAAATTAGTGTTAAGGTCCACTTTTGCTAGAAAAGTAAAAAAAACAGACAAGAGGCCAGCCACCCAAACACCACTGCTGAAGAAATGGCCTGTGGTGGCACACTGTGTTAGATCTGCTCCATGGTGCCTTGTTGCAGCACTGGACTGGCAGTTTCCTCTGGTGTCTCTGGAAGAGGAGCTCCCTTTCCTGAGCTTTCCCCATCTATTGGGAACAGTCAGAGATAATAGTAGTGAAATGGTTTATCTGTGGATGCGAGGGGTAACAGTACGTAAAAATCCTGTGTAGGTCCAAATTGCATTATCTTGCTTTCCATGTAAATGAAAGGTTAATTTTGTGTTTTCCTGGAGAACATGCTTGAGGGTTTATGTATTTTTTTTTTTGTCAGACAACCTCAGATTTTTTAAAAAAATGCTTTTTCTCCTCAGGAACAAGCCAAACAGTTACGGAAGAGGAATTGGGAAGCTTTAAAGAACATACTAGACAACATGGCTAATGTCACTTACTGTACTACTTGGTCAGAGGCTCAGCAGTATCTGATGGACAATCCGACATTTGCAGAAGATGAGGAACTTCAGAGTATGTAAAAAGTCGATGTGTTTTTACAGAATGGATTTCTCTGTAGCAGTGAGGACTCCTGACTAAGCATGGCTTACTCTTGCCTGTTCTAGAGCCACTGTGACAGCTGCTGAGCAGAACCTGTCTTGGTTCTTAGGAGACAGATGTCAGCTTCAGAAATCATTACTGTTTGATCTTCCTGATAAAGCAAAGGCTACCTTTCTTGTGGGGATTGAGTTGTCGTAGTAGCTGGTAGTCTTTGAAGTCTGAATAATTATTTGACAGTGTCATGTGTTGCAAATACTTTTGCTACCTTCTGCTAGGCTGAGGTCCTGCTGTGTTTGTTTTCCTAGAAAAGTAATTGTTTTGTTCTTCTAGAGTAAGAAGGCAGTTTTTCCATTCTGAGCAAATTTTTCCCCCAAACGAGTCGATCCTGTATTTTAGGAGCAGCATATCCCCTTACACAGCTGCCAGGGCATTTGACAAAGATGCTCTGTGTTCTTACTTCTGTCCCGTGGCTTTAAGATAGTCGTGGCAATGTGGGGAGATGCACAAGTGCTCATTTACATCACTTTTCTCGCGAAGACTCCCGTGTTCTGTGTTGGCAATGAGAATTTATCCAGGTTGGGGGAGGTTGGGTTTTTGCTGCTGCACAGGTCTTCGTGTGTTTCAGTGCTCAGGGAAGCTTCTGCTGTTATCTCGTCGTAGGAAACTTCCTGCAGTTAGTGGGAAGAAATACCTGATTTTGACTCATTGCTCTGTTGTTATGTTTTGCTAGACATGGATAAGGAGGATGCACTGATCTGTTTTGAGGAACACATCAGGGCATTGGAAAAAGAGGAGGAAGAAGAAAAACAGAAAAGTTTGCTTAGAGAAAGAAGGCGGCAGCGTAAAAACAGAGAATCTTTTCAGGTTGGTGGACTTTCTTTTTCTGTCTTAGGTGTGTCGTGATTAGATACTCTACATTTTCTTTAGGTTAATGGGTGCATATAGTGTGTCAGTTATCAGTGTTTGTAGTATTTGTCTGCTGTATGATACATGCGTTTGCCAGAAAGCTGCAAGAGTGGGGGGGGAAAGCAAGAGGAAATAGATATGAATGGAAATGTTTGCCAGAAAGCTGCAAGAGTAGGAAGGAAAGCAAGAGGAAATAGATATGAATGGAAAGGAAATGCAATTGGAATATTGTAAATGGTGGAGGGAGGCAGGCAGAACCGATGATGTAAAAAATGACTTTTCAATCACATTGTAACAAAAATGGAATTCCAGTTATCAAGAGTATCCATTCCAGCTGGTAGCCAAGTGAAAGCATGATGAGTGACTACAAATTTGCGTTTCACTTGTATTTTGTAGCTGTTTTTAGATGAACTGCACGAGCATGGACAGTTACATTCCATGTCGTCTTGGATGGAGCTATACCCAACCATAAGCTCTGACATCAGATTCACCAACATGCTTGGTCAACCTGGTAAGAATACTGTCTCTTCCAACCCTTAGAAAGTCAGGTAAAAGTCTTGGGTTTGGGGCAGAGTAGAGCAGGGTTATTGTATATTTTCTAAATGTCAAAAAAAATGCAGCTCTTTTATTAGAGCTAGCTTTTGACTTATCTAGTTTTTTCGTCAGGATCAACAGCACTTGATCTTTTCAAGTTCTATGTTGAAGACTTGAAAGCACGTTACCATGACGAAAAGAAGATAATAAAAGACATCTTAAAGGTGAGAGGGGAAAACGCTCCGTTACGTAGTTCCCTCTTCTGATCCCAAATACGTCATTCCAGTGAACTCTTTGCTCCTGGGAGGTGGGATTTCACACCGCGTTAATGTCGCGTGCATTAGCACTGAAATGAGAGGTTCTGGCTTTCCTGATGCCAAAGAAGGAATTTTCTTACAGGATAAAGGATTTGTGGTTGAAGTGAATACTTCTTTTGAAGATTTTGTAACGGTCATCAGCTCAACTAAAAGAGCCACTACTCTAGACGCAGGAAATATCAAGCTGGCTTTCAACAGTGTAAGTAGTAACATATAGGAATGTTCAAAAACTCATTGTATGAAATCTCTTGTAAAAACCAAAAATTGGCACTTATTTTCATTGGATTGCTATGACTAATATTTGAGAGATGCTGTGCTTTAGAATTGCTTATCCTGGTATCAGTTCCTGAAATAAAGATTGCAGAGGTATATCTTTATTCAAAACATAATCATTTCAACTTGAGGAATTC